AGCGCAGCACAGCCCCACCATCAGAAAAAAAAAAAAAAAAAATCCTGGCCCTGTTTTTGCGTCGCCCGGTTCACCCGGGCGGACCCCCCCGGGACCAACCGGCCGGGGTCCTGCCCGGCCGGGCGCTGGTGCAGCCTGGCTGCAAATCTTTTTTTTCTTTTTTTTTCACAACTTCGGATATTAGCATTTCGTTTTATCTGAAAATTTCTGATATTTGCATTCGTTTTCACGCAACAAATATCCAAAAATTTCTGATAATAACATTTCGTTTTATCTGAAAAGTTCCGATATTTGCACTTCGTTTTTTTACGTAACAAATATCCAAAAATTTCTGATAGTAGCATGTCGTTTTTCTGACGTTAGCATCTCGTTTTCTAGGCATATTAGGGTTACGACGAAGGTTGTCATATTCGGGGAAACGGAATTTATTCTTTTCTGAAAATCGAATCTCCATCCTACTTCGCAAAAAGTTGGTCTCTGAAAGCCGAAATTTTGCGAAGCCTATCAGCATTTCGTTGCTAGACACAATAGGAGGTTGTCATATTCTCGGAAACGGAATTTATTCTTTTGCTGAAAATCGAACCTTTATCCTACCTTGCCTAGATCTCACTCATAGCATTGTCCGTAAAATGCCTCACTGATAACAGATCGACAGATATACAAAAAAAAAAAAGAAAAAAAAAGCGGTGATCCGCTTCTTTTATTATTATTATTATTATTTTTTTTTTGCTGTTGATTAGGACCGGCATGGAAATTGCAGTTTGGTTGTCTTCCTGCGTTTCCTTCCCACCCAGCCCCCTGTCTGTTTTCTCGCCTTGGTAAGTGCCATGTCAGCAGTGCCACGTCGGTTGCAGGACACGTCAGTAGCAGTGCCACATCAGCAGTGCCATGACAAACGGTGACTCGTCAGCAGTACCACGTCAGTAGCAGTGCCACGTCAGCAGTGCCACGACAACAGTGCCACGTCAGTAGCAGAGCCACGTCAGCAGTACCGCGTCATCAACACCGTACAGCTAACTGCAGCTTATGCTCCGACGCAGCAACCGCATCGCAGCACGAGAAGGGCGGGCAGCCGCAGCAGAACAGCAGCTACCTCTGCCCCACCCCTCTGAAACGGACACCCAGGGCAACCCCACGGTGGACAATGCCGCATCCGGCAGTCCACGTGAGGCGTGCAGCTCGAACCCCCTGGCCCCACAGGCCCATCAGGAGGGTTCCACTGCGACTTCTGTGGGAACCCTCGACGCTGCACCAATCCGGCAGCAAGGAGAGACCATGACGGCCTTCCTGGCCCGCCTGGGCACCTATATGCAGCAAGTCCAAGAGGAGCAGCAACGCGAGGCGGCAGCCGAAGCAGCACGCCTTAATGCCATTGCACGCACAGAAGAGCAATGGCGCCGGCAGCAAGCTGACGCAGCTGCCAACCACAACAAAGCTCGAAGAGATGCCGCATCTGTCCTCATGCAGCAAGAAGCCGCTCATACCGCCGCACTCAAAGCATGGAATGTTGATCCGGCGGCGACGACGGAACCAACTACGGAGGAACAGACCAAGTCAGCCCTCGCCAACATGATGTACCAAGTCATCCTCACTTGTAATTGGCAACAAGTGGAGCTGGCTCGGCAGGCACATACCATTGCTGAGTATGAGGAGACTCTCAAGAGCCTCCATGCCCGCCTTGACATGCTGGAGAAGGATGACGTGCTGCACAGGCACACGGCATCATCAAGCATTGATCCATCGATCCGCGAGCTGGAAGGACGACTGGATCACCTAGTCGCGCTTGTCGGCAATTTGAACAGTTTCCGACACTCGACGACCATCAGCCAGTAAATAGCCGCCCTACAAGCGGACCTGCGTCAAATGCAGCAGCAACCAACTGGGACCTGCAACAACGTTACGCCGAAACAATTCAAGATGCCGAGGTTCAGCATCGACAGATTTGATGACTACCACAAGGCGGACTCCATCAGTTGGTGGCAAGGGTTCACCAATGAGCTCTCCATCCACTTGGTCCCGCCCGAGTCGAAGATCTCAGCGCTTCACTTAACCTCTGCAGCACCGGTGCCAGCCAAGTGTGGCTTAACCACCTGGCTCAAACCGAGGGCGTCGAAGTCTCTAAGCTTCACACCAAGATCACTTGGGAGGCCATGACTGAGAAGTGGCGGAAACGCTTCATCGTCGACGACACTCAGGGCAAAGGCGTGAACCGGATCTTCAGCATGCATCAAGGCAGCCAAGCCAACACGCGAATGGCTAACCGAGTGGCAGAAAATTGTGACGATTCCGAATTTGGACATCCCATTCGTACATCTTCCTCACGAATTCTTCCAGCGGTCAGTTGACGCATTGAGCACGGCCCTTGGGGAGCGCAGCCTATACACGGACTTCGACCAGATCGTGAAGAAGGCGCGCGAAGTCATCCAAACCAATCGGTGGGCAGCCAACGAGCGGCGAAGCCAACCGAATTTTGTGGAAAAGGGCAAAGGCCCGCGGCCGCAGCAAGTCGCTGTTGTCCAAGGAAATGGACAAGAGAACGACCAGGCGATGACTCACGAGTCTGGTGAAGGAGACGGAGTCAACGCCCTTCCGCCAACAACAACAAGAAGAAAAAGGCGAAATATGTGTCAACAACGAAAGTCGGACAGCCGAATGAGCCATGGAAGAAGTTCAGCCTCACGGAGGAGCAATACAAACTCCGCCAGAGGTGGAACTGTTGCTACTGGTGCAACAGCACCAAGCATACGACGTCACAATGCCCTGACAAAGGCAAAGAAGACGTTCGTCCACGACAAAGCTCGGGAAACTGAGCTTCGCGGGAAGTGAGGCGACTCCACTTCCTGCTCCGCCGGACACGGTTGCCTTGCTAACAACCTCCTCCACCTCCGGGGAACATGCGTATGTCGCCAGTCTTCGCAAAGATTATGAAGACTATGTTGTCCAACTGGTCCCGTCGTTGGACCAACTTCTCCACGTGCAAGACTCATTTGCGTGTGCGACTTCATCACCATCGCCAAGTGAACCAGCATCCTCGCCAACATCACTCGGGGACTCATCGGTGTGGTCTAGCCTTGAGGAACTCGACCCATTGACACTGGAGGACTTCCAATGGTTGCCTCTTCCCCCATCTGGTTCCTTGCCGAAGCCGCATTGCAACGCCCTAATGGTGGAGCTACGCAACTACTTGCACACTGCAGTACCAGCTCCGTTGATGGAAGACGGAGTAGCGGTTGTTGACCTTCGCGAGTACATTGCGAAGATCGACCGCGAGTACGCCACGCAACGGTACGACGACACCGACGCACCGTTACTCTATGTCTGCATTCAGATCGGGAAGGTGACCTGCAGCGCCTTGATTGATGGTGGAGCTACTCGCAACTATGTCAGCCAGGATTTCATGACCCGCGCCGGCCTTGGGCCGCGCGTTCGAAGGAAATCGCAGCCCACGCAAGTCACGTTGGCCGACGGTCGTACGCACAAGTCCATCGACCAGTGCATTGACTCAGTCCCCGTGTACTTCGCCCCGCTTGCACGCGAGGCCGTGTCCTTTGACATATTGGACACGATCTTGGGCATGTCATGGATGCGGAGCAAGGACCACTCGGTGAACTTCTACCGTCGCACCGTTCACGTTCGTGACCGGAACGGGGTACTTGTGCCATGTACGGTCCCCCCACCTCATCCTTCGATTGGTTGTCACGTGGTCTCCGCGGCAAGCATTCGCAACTCCATCGCACGGAACGACGTGGGGGAAATGGGCATTTGTTTCTTGCACGCCCTCCCTCCTCCTGACAAGCCAGCGGCGGAACAGCCACCGGATCCACGCATTGTACAGCTTCTTGACTCCTATGGCGGCGTCTTTGAAGCCCCCGCCGAAATCGTACTGAATCGGCCAATTCGTCACGAGATCATCTTTGAAGACAGGGCCGTACCTCCGCGTCGATGTATTTACCGCATGAGCGAGGAGAACCTCATTGACAAGGGTTGGATTCGCCCTAGGTGCTCGCCCTACGGTGCACCTGTTCTCTTCGTTCGGAAGAAGAACAAGGAGTTGCGCTTATGCATTGACTATCGCAAGCTTAATGCTCAAAACCATTAAGAATGTCGGCCCGCTTCCATGCATCGACGATCTTCTCGAACGCTTGGGCGGCGCCAAGTATTTCTCCAAGTTGGACCTCAAGGCCGGTTACCACCAGCTCAAGATCCATCCAAGAGATCGATATAAAACCGCTTTCAAGACACGGTACGGGCACTTCGAGTGGGTCCTAATGCCATTCGGCCTCACGAATGCCCCGACCACCTTCCAAGCGGCAATGACAACGGAGTTTTGCGACATGTTGGACCGGTTTGTGCTCATCTACCTCGATGACATCTTGGTGTATAGTCGAACTTTGGACGAGCACATCGTGCATCTATGTGTTGTTTTGGACAGGCTTCGTACGGCCAAGTACAAGGCCAACCGAGCCAAGTGCGAATTCGCACAGCAAGAGCTCGAGTACTTGGGCCACTTTGTGACGCCGCAAGGCATTCGTCCGCTTGCGGACAAGATCAAGGCCATCCAAGATTAGCCGAAACCGACCAACACCACGGAAGTTCGCTCTTTTACGGGATTGGCCAGGTACTACCAACGCTTCATCGGCGGATACGCACGGATCGCCGCACCCTTGTCAAGATTGCAGTCTCCACAGGTGCCCTTCCACTTCACCGATGAAGTCCGCAGTTCATTCCACAAATTGAAGACGGCGTTGCTCCTCGCCCCCGTCTCAAGTATCTACGATCCCACCTTGCCTACGAGAGTGACTACGGACGCTTCCAGCTACAGCATGGGTGCAGTTTTGGAACAACACGACGGAGTAGATTGGCATCCGGCTGAGTACTTCAGCCAAAAGGTGCCACCCATCAACTCCGTTGATGACGCACGAAAGGAGTTCCTCGCGTTCGTCACGGTACTCGAGCGTTGGCGACACTTCCTCCTCGGGCGTCGTAGGTTCACTTGGGTGACCGATAATAACCCATTGACCTACTACAAGACGCAAGACATGGTGAACAGCACGATTGCTCGGTGGATGTACTTCATCGATCAGTTCGACTTCACATCGAAACACATTTCGGGCCTCTCCAACCGAGTCACGGATGCTCTCTCGCGAAGATCAGATCTTTGCGCAGTGACCGACCACGTGTTCAGTTTCGACGAAGCCCTTCATCAACATTTTGTGCGAGCATACAAGTCCAATCCGGAATACGGCACGCTCTACGAGCAACTATCCTCGGATCACCCGCCGGCCAGCCACTATCGCATCGTCGATGGCTACCTGTTGCTTCACTCATGAGGCAAGGACTTACTATGCGTCCCACACGACCGTCGCTTACAGACTCGTCTCCTCGGCGAGTACCGCGACTCGGTACTCGTCGGCCACCTCGGAGTCAACCGTACGATCGCAAGACTTCAGCAGCGATTCCAGTGGCCTGACCTCATTACCGACGTCACTCGCTATTGCGACTCTTGCAAAGTCTGTCGACGAAGCAAGCACCGTAATCGCAACCCTTGCGGTGAGTTACGCCCGTTGCCTATTCCACGGGAACCCGGCCTCTCCATTGCCATGGGCGTCACAGGCCCGTTCCCCCGGGACCGCTTCGGGCACGACGGCATTCTCACGGTCGTTGACCGTTTGAGCAAGTACGCACGATTTCTTCCCTGCAAGTACTACGCCACGGCTCCTGAACTTGCGCGCCTCTTACACACCAGCTGGATTTGCGGCCACGACGTTCCGGAAGACATCGTCAGCGACCACGACACTCGCTTCATGTCGGCATTTTGGACCTCTCTCATGAAAGAGTCCGGCACCGAGATGAAACCAAGTTCGGCTCGGCATCCGCAAACGGATGGCAGACGGAGCGGGCACATCAAACCGCTCAAGTAATGCTTCGCACACTCATTCGTACGGATCAAAAGGATTGGGTGGACCGCCTCCCCGACATCGAATTCGCCTACAACACTTCCGTGCACCCGGCGATCAGCGTGACTCTGTTCGAGTTACACCACGGTGGCCGAAAAGGCCGCATCTTCGCTGATCTTCCTTTTCCAAGGACTGCTGACATTGACGCCGCTTGTTCGCCCGCCTCCGTTTGGAAGTATAGGGACTTGCTGGCTAAAGCCCGCGCCAACATGCAAAAGGCTCAATTCCGAATGCAACAGCAAGCTAACAGGCGTCGCGTGCCATGCCCCATCCGCGTCGGCGACCTTGTTTGGGTCTCCACGAAAGAGTTTGCACTCGAGCAGGATGTATCCTGCAAGCTACTTCCAAAGTGGTTTGGACCATGGCCCGTCACAATCAGCCGTGGGTGATGAGCTCGACCGCCCCTCATTTGTGATCGAAATCCCGCCGCATCTCACGGTGCACCCGGTTTTCCACGCCTCCAAGTTGGCCACATATACACCAGCCAAGAGTGACGACTTCCCGGGACGACGATCACAGGACCCTCCTTCCATGGATGGTCATCAGGAAGTTGACCGCGTCATCATGCATCGCAAGCACGGCAACAAGCCTATGCAGTACAAAGTCACATTCAAGTGGTGCGACCCCGATGACACGTGATGGATTTCCCGGGCAGCTTTGCGAGCCTCCGCTCCTAACATCTATGCTCATTGTGAGAAGAAACGGCTAGTGACGGAAGTTGCACAGCCTCCCACCCGGACTTCAGTCCCTCCCTCTGCCAGACAGCTTCGCCCTCGCAGGTAAGCTCGGTCTTTCACGGAGGGGGGGTGTGGCATACTCCGTACCACACGGGCCCAGCAAAGCCCGACCTGGTAGAGTAAGGGTCCGTAGGAGTAGAGCCTGTTTCCTTTCAGCCTAAAAGCCTGAAACGAGGGCCTACAGGCCCTGCCGGAAAAAGACGGGCCATTTTCAGGCCCTCGCAAGATCAACCTACCCTGAAACTCGGGCACCAGACCGGGGTGTTAGCTCAGGCCATTGTGGCCTATTTTGTGGAGCGTCAACCCCAGGGTCTGGCACGTTTTGGCATAGGCACGAGCAGCCTCCCGGACGGGCCAGCACTATATAAGGCTGACCCGCCCTGTAGGCTGCAGGCAGTTCCCAGGCACTTCACGTGCAGAGGGCAGGAGGTAGTCTTCAGGACTCGGCAGCGGCACTCTGGAGGAGTAGTAGCGATAGCAGTAGTCTTCAGTGTTGGGCGCTAGTAGAGAGAGAGAGAGATGGTTGGCGGAGGCCAGGGAGACTCACCTGCGGCGCCATAGCTCCAGCTTCGTCTTCGATGTACCTGCACCAAAGCGCCACCTTTACAGGTTAGTATCGGAGAGAGAGAGAGAGAGAGAGAGAGAGAGTTCTTCTTCTTCCTCCTCTTAGTCCCCCATCTATTCCTCACCCTCTCGCCCCCTGACTTCTCAGTATCTACCGGCTAAGAGAGAGAGAGAGAGAGAGAGAGAGAGAGAGAGAGAGAGAGAGAGAGAGAGAGAGAGAGAGAGAGAGAGAGATGGGCGACATTGGGATTTGACGACATTTAGGTTCAGACTCAGCATCGGGATTCAGACCTTTGGCGAGGGATTATTTGGGACTGTATCGAAGCCTTGGTGTTGACGACATTTCCATCTTCCCCCTCCCCTTCGTCTAATCCTCCTCTTCTTCGTTTGTGCATGATCGGGGACTGACGCATTCTTCCCATGTGAGTGTCAGCCCCCTTCACACCATGGAAAGATGATGATACATGTTTGGTCTGCATGGCAGCTTGATTGATCGGATCATCGGTATCTAAGCCTTCCGTTGTGTTATCTTGTATCATGTGAGAAAGGTCGGTTCTTGGTCTGGTCTGTACCCTTGGGGTATGCAACATTGAACCCCGACAGTCTTCCCAGGATGCATTTGACTGATGGATAAGGACTCACCACATCGCCCAGAGTTAGCAATACCCCTGAGAAAAGTGGTTGACTTTACTCACACCAACCTTGCAATCCTAGCAGACTGCCGGTCCAAACCCCTGACAACAACGGTAGTAAGTCTGAGAAACTAATCTGACACAGTCATAAAACCCACTCTACACACCCACTCAGCCATGGACACCCAATGGCATGATCGCTAGTACGGTCCCGACCCTAGCCGCATCGATCCGCTGAACGGAGAGCCTAGCAAGGCCACGTTGTGTGTTGTCATATTCGCTATACACTCAAAAAAGTGTGTGTGTGTGTGTGTGTGTGTGTGTGTGTGTGTGTGGGTTGTAGATTTTCCCCACAACAGCCCCAATTCCACCCAGATGAATAGATTCAGAATCAAGGCAAACTTTGTCCTATTGCAGACAACGAGAGCATTTGAGATGTCCAACATATAAAAGCAATTTTCCATTGTTCTTGCAGCTCCCTTTCACTGTGCCTCTTACGCACAAGGCTGCCAACGTTGATTGTGATTGAGCGGGAGCTGCCCACATCCCCGTGTGCCTTCACGGCCCACTTGCACGTTATTTCAGGAGGCAGATTAAAAGGGAAGGTATGCTCCTGTGCATTTCTCTTCAGAGCTTCATACTCCTGTTCCTTTCACTTCAGATCTTCAGCTTATACAGTCTTCGTGTCCATCTTTCATCTTCATACTTCCGTTCATTTCATTTCTGATCTTCATATCGTCTGTTCTCTTAATGATGCTCATTCGTATGTATTTGTTAGTAGCACAAATGGAGTGGAGGGGGGGGTGGAGGGAAAGGGATAGAAGGCGGAGTTCTATAGGAGCACAGGGCATGGGAGGTAGGGGCAAAGGGAAGGAAAGAAATATGTGAAGCACAGGATAGAGTATGACATGCAAAGAGCCGGGGAGAGGTGTATGACGAGCTTCACAGAATTCTAAATATTCACTGCTGAAACAGACTACTCAAATGGCACAGGGTTGCAMAAAAAAAAAAAAAAAAAAAAAAAAAAAAACCACGGCAAGTGGCCACCCCTACAGACTGGACAGAACCGGTTCGGGTGCGGGCTATGGAAGCACCGCATCCAATTTTCACAGTTTCAGTTGCTGCATTAAATGGCATGGCGCAGACAGATGTCACAGGCTGCGTGGCTCCAACATGCTAGGAACACAGAGGCATGTCGACCGCATATATAGAGGCATTGCCGTTCCAGCCCGTCTACAAATTGGGCATGACA